ATATAATCTTAAATGAAAAAATAAAGGCCATTCAATGAACTAAAAGACTTTCAGGTATTTGTGACAAAAAGATCAGAACTCAATGGAAAATTCGACATATAAGATTCAGGAGAAACATAAGGTAAAGAGTAAAGACCAATTACAAGGGACTTCATAGGGTCAAACTGTTTACTTCTTTTGTGAAAATATTATCTTAAGGCTGTCATCATTTCTTGGGTAGTTTGAAAGAAAGGCTTGGGCTGAGTTGAGTAAGATGGGTTGATTCTAAAACAAAAGTGATCGGGAGAGGTAAAAAGGAGAAATAATTTTGTACAAATGAGGAGTGAAAGGAAGAATTAATACAGAACAAAGTGAGGGTGGGAACTGGATTAAAGAAGGAACATCTAGCAGGGTAAAAAAAGTCTTCTAAATTTACAAAGAAATAAGAAGGTTGAGGAGATAGGAAAAGGGACTTTTAGAAGGGTATGTAGATTAAGAATTAGGAGGGTGGAAGAGAAAATAAGGGAGGGATTGTTAGAGAGGTGGGCAGACTAAGATAGAAGGTGGGGGGAGAGGCTAAGGATAAGACTCTTAGAAGGGTAGGTAGATTAAGGAATGGAAGGGTAGGGTAGTGGTCAAAAGTAAATTAGATGTATAAGGAAGAATAGAGTAAACAGGGCAAGAAGGATAAGGAAAAATAGGATAGAAGGAAACACACAACTAGAAAACTGTAACTTTGAATGTGAATCGGATAAATTTACCTAACTTAAAAGTGAGAAATACAGAGTTAAATAAAGGGCTGGTGTAAAATTTATTATGCTTCAGCTGATGTAAAAATAAGCAGCGGTAGCAATCATGATCTCAAAGTTAAAGCTAAAATAGATTTAATAAAAGAGATAAAGGAAACTATACTATGTCACCAATATCTTTTTTTTTAGGCAGTTGGGGTTAAGTGATGTCACCAATATTATTCACCAATATTATTCAATATTGTTTTAGAAATGTTACCAATAGCAACAAAAGAAGAAAAAGAACTTGAAGAATCAGAATGGGAAATGAAGTAATAAACTTATCTTTTTGAAGACAATGGGATGATATATTTGAAAAAATCCTAAATATTCAACTAAAAATTAATTGAAACAGTAATTTTAGGAAGTAGTAGGATGTAAAATAAACATAAACCATCAGCATTTTTATGTATCACCAACAAAACCCTGCAAGAAGAGATAGCAAGATATGCCCCATTTAAAATAACTATAGACAGTATTAAATACCTGAGAGTATACCTGCCAAAACAGACCCTGCAACTACATAAACACAATCATAAAACACTCTTTAGACAAATAAAGTCAGATTTAAATAACTGGAAAAATATTAATTGTTCATGGGTAGGCAAAGACAATATAATAAAAATGACAAATTTACCTAACTAATCTATTTATTCAATGCCATTCCAATTATATTACTAAAAAAATTATTTTACTGAGTTAGAAAAAAATAACAAAATTCATTTGGAAGAACAAAAGGTCAAAAATTTCAAAGAAACTAATGAAAAAAATGTAAAGGAAGGAGGTTTGGCAGTACCAGACTTCACACTATATTATGAGGCAGTAAATATCGAAACTATCTGGGACTGGCTAAAAAATGGAAAGGCAGATCAGTGGAAAAGAATAGACATAAATACACAGTAGTAAAGGATTATAGTAACCTTCTGTCTGACAAATGTAAAGATGTAAGTTTTAGGGATAAGAACTCATTATTGGTAAAAATTGTTAAGAAAGCTGGAAAGCAGTTTAGCAGAAATTGGGCATAGACCAATATCTTAAACCATGTACCAAGAGAAGGTCAATATGGATACATGACCTAGATATAAATGGCGTTATCTCAAGAAAATTAGAACATGGAACATACTACCTATTAGACTCGTAGATAGGAGAACAATTCATGAATACACAAGAGACAGAGAGTATTGTGAGGTGTAAAATGGATAATTTCAATTATATTAAATTTAAAAGTTATTGTACAAATAAAAGTAATATAGCCAAGATTAGAAGAAAAGCAGAAAATTGGGGAAAAAAAAATTTCAGGTCCCATTTCCCAAATATATAAAGAACTTTGTCAAATTTATGAGAATGAGTCATTCCCCAATTGATAAATGGTCGAAGGATATGAACAGGTAGCTTTTCAATGAAAAAATCAGAACTATATGTAGTCATATGAAAAAATGTTCTAATCATTATTGATGAAACGCAAACTAATACAACTTTGAAATATAATCTTACACCTATCAAACTGGTTAAAATGACAGATGCTCTTCAAGTGGGGAATGGCTAAACAAGTTTTGTTATATGATTGTGATGGAATGCTTCTGCACTATAAGAAATGATGAGCTGCTTGATTTTAGAAAAACATGGAAGGCCTTGGACCTATGAAGGAAGATGATGCTACTCACATCCAGACTCCTAACCCTAATTACATGTACAATATTGTTTCACATATGTGTATATTATGTATTTACCTTTATGTATATATTTGTGCATATATGCATATAGGGATATATGTATATATATATTCATGTTTAATTATAGCCTTCTCTAAGGCAGGGCGAGAAGGGAGAAAAAAATAAAAAGTGTTCAGCAGAGAACAAAAGAAAACTTAGAAGAACAGAAAAACTGGGTAGCTTTGAAAACAATGTGTAGTATTTATTACAGTTTTAAAAAGAAAGTCTGAAATGGAATTTCATGTTTTTATATCGAATACTCTATGTTCTGATATATACATGGAAATGTTTCTTTTCCTTTTTCTCATTTTATGTTTAAGTTTAAAAGAATAATTTAAAAAAGAGTAAGGTCGCTTAAAGAAAAAACAACTTTGAAATTTTTATTTCAAATTTAAATTTTCAAAATTCAATTTAAATTCCAAATTAAAAAAAAATTCTGATCAATGCAATGACCAAACACATTTCCAGAGGAATGATGGAAAATGATAATCCACTTCCTGACACAAAGTGATATATTATCAGACATGACCAAAGTATTAATTTGTTCTGCTCGACTATGCAGTTGTTACAAGAGATTTTTCTCTTTTTTTCTTCCCGCTGGGGTTGCAAGGGAAAGGAGAGTTTGTGACTGGATTAGAAGGGTAGAACAGGTCAGAAGGAAACAGAGACAAAGACAGCTCTGAAAGTTCTTGAATTTATATATTTAAAAGGAAAGCAAACCATATATATTAGAATTTGCAGTTTCATGTACAATCCTTTTTCTGTACTATATCATGGAAATAATAATCTATCTAGTTAAGTTCAAAATGAATTTTTAAAAGACTAGATGATACTCAGACTAACATTTGAAAATAAATGCTCATTATCTTTCAAAGATTATAGCCTAATAGCCTTAGATTTTGGGTTTTTTTTAAGGTATTAGAATACTTTTCTATATATGGCAAACTTTATTTAATAACTGTTGTTCTGTCATTTTTTAGCCATATCTGACTTTTTGTGACCCCATTTGGGGTTTTCTTGGCAAAGACAATGAAGTGGTTTGCCATTTCCTTCCCCAGCTCATTTTACAGGTAAGGAAACTGAGGCAAACAGGGTTAAGTGACTTGCCCAGAGTCACGCAGCTAGTGTCTGAAGGTGGATTTGAACTCAGGGAGATGAGCTTTCCTGACTCTAGGGCTGGCGCTCTATGCACTATGGTGCCACCTTGCTGCCCCTAATAAAAGTAAGTCAACATTTATATAGTGTGTACCATATGCTAGGCACTGCATTAAGCACTTTACAATTATTTAGTTTTGGAATTGTGATGTGGAATTGTGCAACATCACATTGGCTTTTTTAGGGATCGGCTGAATTCTTTTCAATCTATAGTATCCTACATTTTATATAGGTTTCCAAGTGTGCACAGCATAGTGGAGAAAGGCTTGGATTTGCAGAGAACCTAGGGTTCAAATCATCACAGGACCATAGATCCAAAGCAAGAAGGGAGATTAGACATCAACTCTTATTCTATTGATTAGGAAATTGGCCTTAGAGAGAAGCCTAACCTTACAAAGATTCAAACACAGGTCTTCTGAGTTCAAATGCAGAGCTCTCTCCACTGTACCTGCTATATATTAGCTGGACCTTAGGCAAGTCAAGCTTCAGAAGTCTTGTTTCCTCTTCTAAATGAGGGGCTTGGTTCTCAGCTCGCGGGCCACATGAGAGCAGGTAGGAGTCCCATCTGGCCCACAGGTCACACAGTTTGCCAGCCTCTAATCTTCTAGCTCCTGTGACTAAACAGTCTAGTAGAAGCCTACTACCCATTTAAAAGACCCTAGGCTAAACAATAAAGGCAGGAAAGAAAAACCCATGACTGGGCAAGAGGAACCAACAGGCCTGGACAGGAAGTAGATTTGAGGGACACCCGGTGGGAGGAGTAGAGAAGTGTTTTGTCCATGTCCAGAATGTGACAACAGTTGAAAATGAATGGACAGGGAGGCTGGTGGTATAATCCTACGCCATATATGTTACATAATAACAACTACGGGGAGAGTCTGAAGGTGGTGGACTGCTTGAGTTCAGAAATACAGGAGGGCTAAATTTGGGTAGTTAGCCCCTGGGAATGGAGGGTCACCACGCTGCCTAAGAAGGGGTGAACCAGTCCAGACTGGAAAAACAGCAAGTCAAAATGTCCTAACGGGGCAGCTAGGTGTCGCAGTGGATGAAACTCCGGCCTTGGAGTCAGGAAGACCTGAGTTCAAATCCGACCTCAGACACTTGACACTTACTAGGTGTGTGACCTTGGGCAAGTCAAGACTGCCTCACCAAAAAAAAAGAGTCCTAACAATCGGCAGTGGAAGAGGAGCCCAAGAATATTTACTGTCTGGGCAAGATAGGAAGACTCAGTCTCCCCCCAACCCCCCAAAGGAAAGAAACAAAGAAAGAAAAGAAAAAGACAAATCCTATGATGCTGTAGCTATAAGGTTATGCATTCATTCAACCAGCTAAAATATTAGTTTCAGATACCACACACACAAGCAGGTCAGTAGAAAAATGATTTATTTAGGCTCCTTTCATACATCTTACTGTTTAGGGAACACAGTCTCACACAAAATCACAGCCTTTGAGAGCTACACTTAAAACAATGAAGGGTCAAGGCAAAGCTGAGCCCTGGACAGAGTCATCAGCCTGGAGGCTCCAGCTCCCTGAATGGACTTGTGCACATCTTCACCAAAAGTGTCTTTTCCTGAAAAGGTGAAATTTACAAAGAGGCTTGTAGGAAATAAGGAAATACTTTATTCAATACTTTCATTATACAAAGGAAAATAGTTTCTCTCAAAAATGGGGGGAAAAAACAAAGAGGACAGATGTGATTACTTGACATGAATGGTGGGTCAATATAGAAAAACAATGGTGTTATTACTATTATTATTATAAGATGATCACATCAAGGGGACCAAGAGGGTTTTTTCCAAAAATTGGACTAAAACCTTTTGCATTTTTACACCAGGCCTTTCCTTATGTCATTCTGAGACACAGTAAATCCATGTTCCAAGCTTTGTCCTGGCGGGCAGAACGGCCTTTGAAACGCCATTAAAAGGAGCAAATCCAGTTACGGTTGTGTCTTCACAAAAGGAACTCTAACCCAGCAGATAGCCCCTGTAGAAATGTAAGAGTGAAAAGCAAGAATTAAGTCATTTCATTCAAAATCTTTCCAACTGTCTCTGGTTTATTTTGTAAAGCCCTTTTCATACATGTCCTTTGATCTTAACAGCAATCCTGCGAGGGAGGTGCTACTACTATGGTGCTTCCATAGTGACATTTTTAATGACCCATTTTTAATCTTACTAATGACTAGAAAAAAACGCTAATAAATCAGAGTCCAAAAAGACAAAGATAAAAGCAGAGGAAAGAGAAAATTTCATATACCCAAAGAGATGAAAGAGGAAAAGACTAGTAGCTCTGTTTGCAGTAGCAAAAAACTGGAAATTGAGGGACTACTCATCAATTGGGGAATGGCTGAACAAGTCATTGCATATGTATGTGACGAAAGACCATTATGCTGTAATGTGTATGAAAGAGATGGTTTCAGAGGAGCCTGGGAAGATCTGTATGAACCAACACAGAGTAAAGTGAGCAGAACCAGGAGAGCGATTTATAACGAGAGCAATATAATATCAACAATATTGTAAAGACAATGCATTCTGAAAATCCTAGGAACTTAACACTATGACTAACCACAATTCCCAAGGACTCATGATGAAACAGGCTACCCAACTCCTGATAGAGGTGATAGACTGTAAATGCAAATTGAGATGTAATTTTCTGGGACGTGGCCAATACAGGAGCTTGTTTTGCTTGGTTATACTATTTACAGGGAATTTGGTTTCCCTTGCTTTCTCAATGAGGGACAGGGAAATGTGGTAGGGAAAGAAGGCAGATCTTCACTTGAAAAAAATTCATTTTAAAAAAAAGAGAAAAAAAAGAAAATTCCTTATAAATTTAAAAGCCAGAATGCAGTCCCCTGTTGAAGACACAAACTACTCCTACAAGTAGAACTGGGGGTTCTAGGACTTAAATGATCAGTCGATTCAGCTCTTCAGATAATGTGGAAAAGATGTGGTGATGTAAAAAAAATGACAGTGAATGGCCTGTGAGGGAGAAAAAGACATGCCTCTGTGAAGGGGATGGAGGATATCCACGTGAGATACCCTTGAGGGAGGGAGAAGATGACTGGCAGCAGCTTGCCTTGCCATTCACGGTCTCTAAGTCAGGCACTGTGACACATCGGCTTGAGGCCCTCACATTCATGCAAACAGGGGCCATGAAAGCCCTTTGATATGATAGTTTAGTTAAATCCAAGTTTTGACATTTTTCTTTAAACATTAAAATATTTTTAAAATTTAAATTATGACCAAAAAATGAATAAACTGTTTTAGAAAAAGTGATCATATATTGACAGGTGGCCACAGTTTCCCCAAAATGACTGTGCAACAGTAATATACAACAATATTTATCTTTTTAATTATTACACCAAATCATTAAAAATCCTGAACACTAAGTATAAGTAGTTCAATACAACTCTCAAATACAAGATAAAGTTTGCTTCTGAAGGGCAAACCCATTTTCACGATGGGAGGATTCAGTGCTTTCTTTGTGGGCTCTCTAGATGGCTTTTTGATCTGGGATTAGTGAATACAAACAATTCTGTCCTCCTGGCTAGACCTCAAAAATAAATTTTTTTTTTTAAGGCAACTGGGGTTAAGTGACTTGCCCAGGGTCACACAGCTAGTAAGCGTCAAGTGTTTGGTCTGAGGCTGGATTTTGAACTCAGGTCCTCCTGACTTCAGAGCCAGTGCTCTATCCACTCAAAAATAAACTAATTTGAAATAAGTAATTTTTTCTACTGAACTATAAATGTGGACTCCCTGAGTAGGTGGGGTATCTGAAAGTGGTATTTTAGCTGACTGTGAATAAGGTCTAGAAGTGTATTCCTTATGAAGATTAAAAATTAAAAAAAGAAAAGCAAGTCTAGAAGTCAGAATCTGTTCCTGTAACCTTAAGAATAACAAAAGACGTGAATACTATTGAAAGAACGTATCTAAATTCAGAATACTAAACTACATACTAGTTATGTCTGCATAAAATAACCAGTGTAAATAATAATTCCTAGTAATTCAATGTTGCAGAAAACCACCTGCCCCATCTTGGTGAGGTGAAGCCTGAAGGAATAAAAATTTGTTTTCATTTAACTGATAGGACATGATCATATTTGTACATCCTGTGGTTTTGTGTTTATATGAAAATGAGCTATGGTGATATGTTTTCCTCTCCATTTCAGCAAAACATTAGTCATTTTCTTTCATCTTGAAGTATTTCCATACCACAAATGGGGGAGTGGAGTGGGGTGGGGAATGTAAGGCAAGGGATTGGAAAACAGGAGAAACCCCAAATAAATAGAGAGTAGACACTGCAAAATTTTTCAGTTATAAAACATTAAGCCTTACCAAATTCAAGGAGTCTTACAGCCAATATTTTATAATCTGCATATACTTTACAATGCCTACTCTATTTTCAATGTTCCCACAAAAAATAGGAACCAAGGCTAGATGTGGAAAGGAGAGAAGAGGAAAGGAAGGGAGGGTAAGGGAGGGAAGAGGAGCTGATGAGATCACCAGGAAAGAGCTGGAAGAGGAGCTGCATGGTACAGGGGAAGGAAAGCGGACTGCAGTCAGAGGACACCCATCGAAAGCTCATCTCTAATGCTTACTACCAGGGTGATCTTGCTGACTGGGCCTCAGTTTTCTTATCTGTAAAATGAGAAAGCTGAACTAAATGGCCTCTGCTACCCCACTCAGCTTGAGGTCCATGAGTCTATCCTAAGAGGGCCAGGCAGGGAATGCTGTTCAGATGATCAGGAAGGAAGACAACTGGGAAAAGGCCATCCAACTTGGCATTTAAAAGGTCACTGGTGACCTTAAAAACAAAAGTTTGTGGCATATGAATGTGAAGGAATACTATTGTGCTATGAGAAATGGTGAGCAGGCAGAGTTCAGAAAAACCTGGAAAGACTTGTATGGTCTGATACTGAGTGAAGTGAGCAGAGCCAGGAGAATGTTGTACACAGTAACAGCCACACTGTGTGATGACTGACTTTGACAGACTCGGCCCTTCTCAGCAATGCAAGGATCAAAGACTTGACCCAAAAGTCTCATGATGGAAAATGCTATCCACATCCAGAGAACAAACTGTGGAGTTGGAATGCAGATCGAAGTGTGCTATTTGCTCTTTTTTTTCCTTCTGTTTTGTTTTGTTTCCTCCTATTGGTTCTAATTCTTCTTTACAACATGACTAATGTGAAAATATATTTAATAGGAATATGTATATGTAGAGCCTCTATCAGATTGCATGCAATCATGGAGAGGGAGGCGGGGAGGAGGGGGAGAAAAATTTAAAACTCAAAAGGTTATGGAAGTGATTATTGAAAACCAAAAATAAATTAATAATAAAAAAAAAAAGAAAGAGAAAAGTATTCGTCCAGTGGTGGGACTGTGGGTGGGGAAATGTTGCATACATTGTCTAAAGAAAAAAACAAGTTTTAGTAGCATGCTAGGTTTAGAAGCTAAATCTACAAAAGGTTTAGGAAATGTAGAAAAAATATATGACCGATTTCCACGTGAGGTCCATGGAATCCGTGTCAAAATTATATAGGCAACTCTTTCAAAACACCTCCAAAATTCATGAGAAATGCTATCAACCTCCAAATAGACTAATGGACAGAATACAGAATGAATCATCATTTTTTCCCCCTCTTTTTCCTTTTTTTTTTGAGTGGTAGTGGTAGTGGAAGGGGAGACACGACTTGAATAATGCAGAAATATGTTTTGCATGACTTCCTATGTATAACAGATATTGTAATTCTTGCCTTGATGAGGAAAGGGTAGAGAGAGGGAGAGAATTTGGAACTGAAAATAAAAATAAAACTGAACAAAAAAGAAAACCTCCAAAGCTACAGAAAAATTTGGAAATAAAACACAATAATGTCAACGACCTTACTAATACTTCTTAAGAAATAAAATCTTACATCAGCACGACAGAAATGAATGGCCAATTGGGCTAATTACGCACATCTAAAATAGGTCTCTTTCAGAATATATTACACTTTTGGGCACATTTTTGGACACACAAATTTTTAACATCAGGATCCATCTCTGGAATTCTCCATTCTGCCTAGATGTAACGGGCTAAATGAAGAGGTCCAGGTTCTAGGACAAGCCTATTCACGGACTAGCTATGTAACAAGTCATCTCTCTCACCTCCCTGGCTTCAATTTCCTCAAATACAAAAGGAGTTTGATAATAATGAGCATTAAGGTCCTTTCAAGCTCAAAATATTTCTTATGCTATGTTTTGTACATTATTCAACTTTACAACTAATAATCCTATGTACCATGAACCAAAATGCTTAATGACTTACGGCAGCTTCATTCTCATGAACACTCTCGCCATGAAGAAACTCAAGAGGACACTGACGAAACCAATGAATAAAAGAAGAAACCTATTGAGCTTGGGAATATTTGGTGCATTGGATCGGTCTAGGATTATGAAACCTAAACCTCCCATTGTAAACAGGAAACTGGATGCAAGTCCTTCCATAATATATTGTCCGTTTACTCTGCAAAAGAAAGAATAATTTTCTGCAAAAACTATAAACATGAAAACTTCCTGTATTCAAGACTAGTTTTCCCTTTAGTTTGAAACTAAGATTCTTAAATGCAGCCCTAACCCCCACCTTCTTTGCAGAAGTGGGAGATCGCAGACAAGGTTGCTGTGTTGGCTGGATTTGTCAAACGGCTCTTTCTACTCTCTGAAACCAAACTCTAGTTTGTGTTGTTTTTGTTGTTGTTCTTGTTTTTTGTCAACCATTCATTCTGAATTTTACAACCAGTCTACTATCTAGAATAAGTTAATTCTAATCCTTTATTTCATTTCCTTATGATACTATCTATAGAAAAAAATTGACATTTTAGCTGCATTGCACTCAAAACTGACTTTCCTATGGAATGCCATTCTGCCCTCTTAGCTCAGGTGTAAAACATTTACACAAATTCAAATATGTATTATCAATGGCAAATGAATTTTAACTTAACAGATATTTTCTTGTGTGATAGGTAAAAAAAATTTTCATTTTTAGAGGGGAAATTTTTTAAGGGAATATTACATATTTAGAGAGCAATACTCATTACTTCAACATAATTCATCACACTGAGAACATTTCAAGGCTGATCTTAAATCCCACAAGCTTAAAGAAAGCATTTTTATTAATTACATATGCTATAATGTATTCATTTTAAATAGCTACCTTTCCTTAAAGAAGGCGGATTTTTCTTAAACAAGTGACTATAGAAAGCATAATTCCTGTAAGACAAGGGTTCTTAACCTTTTGTGTGTCACAGACGCCTTCTTGGAAAATTGTTTTTAAATGTGTAAAATCAAATACAAAGGAAATTACAAATGAAACCAATTATACTAAAATACAATCACTAAAATTAAAAAAAAATTCACAGACTCCACATAAAGGATCACTGCTATAAGAAATCAAATCAGGGTCACAGGCCCAACAAGATGGCAGAGTGGACATTTTCTCTAATCCTCACAACCTCTCAAAAACAGAAATTATGCACTAATAAATAATTTCAGCAGTCTCCATGGTCAAGGACACGTGGAATCCCAAAGATAAAAACTCCATGAACTAATGCCTAACTCAACACTCACCATTCCACTGCCAACCACACTAACTAGCCACTTAATCATGGGCTTGCGACAAAATGCAACCCCCTTACTTTCCCCTTCTAGTGCCGTGGAGATCCAAGCGCCAAACTGCAGAAATATGCTAAGGCCTCAATAGCCAGCACCGGGGTACTGTTCTGTGCTGCAAAGATCTCTGCAGGAGAGCTGAGGAACAAAGGGAAAAGGGGAGCACATGTGTTTGGACTTAAAAGAGTTCAAAACCTCCTAAATTTCTGCTCTCTCTCTTCAGAGATTCAAGCTCCAAATGACAGAAATCTGCCTAGGTTACAATGGCACCAGCATAGCAATGCATAGTACCATCAGGCCAGAGAACTTGGGAACAGAAAGAATGAGATGTGACACCAGGGACTGGAGGGATGGAGACATTCCACTAAGCCTAAGAGAAAGAGTCCAGTCCTCCCAAAGTCTTATGGCAGCAACCTCGGCTGATGAATTGTCCACTACAGGATGATACTGAGATGCTTCTGAGATACTACCCCTAGAGAAAAAATAAACTCAGTCACTCTAAAATCCAGTATTGAAGGCAATTTAATAATTAAATAATGGTGCCTTCCATAAGGAAATTTGGTTGCATTTTAAAATAAGCATACATTGTTCTCTTTCCCTCCTACTCCCCCCCGCTCCACTGCCCAGTTACTTTAACAAAATAACTTCTACCTGTATGCCAAGAAAGCAACTGGTCTCTGATGTCCATGTTCATCTGTCATAGATCCAACACTAGGAGGTTCCACAATGACATCATAAATTATTCCTATGTGGAAAATAAGTGAAAATTAGACTAGATTAATAAGGCTATAGCTTTCCTTTATCTCTAAAGGTATAAAATACTTTATTAAAATAAAAAATGCTTAAGATTTGCTTTTCTCCAACTACAAAGATCAAACAAGACCTAGTCTACTTAAAATATGGCCCCTTTAACTTTGTGTTCAGAATTTTAGAAAATTATTTCAAAATAAGAATGAGGTCATCTTAATTTTTAGTATTGCTGCAAAGTAATCAATATTGGAGAAGGCCTCCAATTTTTGTTTAAAGGGAAATATAAATTTATGGCCTGAATTCAGCAAAAAAACAAAAAAAATGTACTCTATAACTATTTCAAAAAATTGTTTCCCTTAAAATGTGAGTTATTTCTTGAGACATCCTATACATGTTAAACTTAAAATCAAATGAAATATTTTAATGTCTTTAATTTTAAGACCAAGCATTTTCAAAAATCTAGAAACCAATTATGTGTCCAATGACTGGGAAATAGTTCCACTATTTGTGTTATATGAACATTATGTGAACATGTTATATGACTCCTAACATTTTATTACACCATGAAGAATATTCTTCACAATATACAGAAAAACAAAGGAAGACCTGATTGAACCAACATATAAGGTGGTAGAGCTGAAATAAAAATATACAATGACCACAATAATGTTAATTAAGACAACACCAAGATGCAGCTGAATCAAATTAATTCAGGCCAAATTCAAGTCAAATTAAATGGCTATATCAGAGTACTAAAGTTAAAACATTTGTTTTATTTATTTATTTGTTTGTTTAGAAATGGTTAACTAAGAGTTGCTCAACAGGCACCTACTATGTGCCAGGAACCACACTAAGTGCTGGGAATACAGAAAGTCAAGAGACAGTCCTTGCTCTCCAGGAGCTCACAATTCAATGGGGAGACAATATACAAACAATGCAAACAGGACAAACTGGGTGATAATCTCAACAGTAATAGAGACATGGAAAATCTATGATGTCTGGGACATCACAGGGACATCCAATTCAAGATGTCTGGAGATTGTGGCTAGATAAGTAGATCAGAATCATTAGCAGACAGGTAACACTTGAATCTATTGGAGCTAATGAGATCATCAAGAGAAACAGTATTTAGAAAGAACCCAGAACAGACCCCCTCTACCAGTAGACGTTACCTGGACAAAGATGCATCAAAGTAGAGAAGAAAACAGACAGGTGGAAAACAAAACAGAGTAGTGTCAGGGAAACAGGGAGAAGAGGGTGAGTGACTGGGAAAAGGTTATTAGATTTGGCAATTAAAAACAAGATCACTGCAAAGTAGAAAGTTACATCTGCCAATCACTGTATTATACATCTTTCTGCCTAACCTTTTGTGAGTAGGGACAGTTTCATTCCTCGTACTCATATTCCCAGCACCTAACACAGTACCAGGCAAATAGCAGACTCGATGGCCAACTGAAGATACTGTAGGAAGGGAATTTTGGGGAGTGATTGATATATCCAAACAATTATTATAACCTTATCTGAAAGTCTTGCTTGAAAAAAAAAAAAAAACCGGTTTGAAACACTGACAGATAATCTTGATTATTTTCTCATTATGACTTTAAAATCAGTATGAAGGTATTATTATTAACCTTCCAGTTAATATTCAATAGGATAATGTTGGCAGTAACAGCAAACTTCGAACAGTAACACTGATGACTAAAACACAATACCCCATAAGGATACCTGGAAACAACAGTGTTTTAGCCTCAATGTTCCCAATACGTCCAGTTACAGAGCCCTGAACTCTCGTGATCCTCACATGATATATATTATTTTCCTTTTTCTAATAAACTTATGTGCTTTTCTCCACTTACTTAACTTTAAATCTAGCTTTGGGCTCCCCTCAAGAATGGCAATTTGTAGCCTCTAACCCGAGTGGCCATACCTGTATCTTCTTGCTGTCAAGCTGTATTATTTATTTGCTCCATTCCTGTGTCCAGATTCCTTCTCTTCATGACTACGGTCATAAAGAACTTTTCCCCAGTACAAACTAACTCTCTGTGCCTTCTTTTGGCCTTTAATGACACGATACCCTCAAATCTCAGTTTTTAGGAGAGGAGGAGAGAATTTTCCTCCTTCCAGCAAATCTGGAAACTGAAATGGACCAAATTAAACAACAGTAATTTATTACAAACTTACTTTGCAAATTGTTTTGTCTAGTTAAGTATAAAGGCCATCGGGAATTTAAGAAAATGTTTTATTACACTTGTTTGATTTAGGTTCTACACAACTTAAACAATCTGAAAAAAAATTATACTTTGCTTCCAATCAATTAAATAATGAAAATAATGTATTAAATAACACCCAAGAATAACTCTAACATTTAAATTGAACATTAATCAAACTCATTCATTTGACAAATATTCAGTTACAGATAGGGATCCTGGCCCTCAAAGGGGAAGCTCATTATCTTTCCCAAGTTAGTTGTACCTCTTAACTTGTCTGTCTCTGGCAAAGGCTCTAACATTCTCCCATTCATCCAGTCATATTCAATAAATATGTAATAAGCACCTACTATGTGCAAGTTACCAGAGATAATAGTCTAATAGGGGAAGGTAAGTTGGTGGCGGCGGTGGCAGTGAAGACACGTGCTTTGATGAATCTGTAGTCTTAACCTCAAATATCAAATTTGATACCAACGGAAAGAGCAGTGGATTTTTTCAGTCATGTCCAATCCTTTGTGACTGCATTTGGGGTTTTCTTGGCAAAGAAACTACTGGAGTGGTTTGCCATTTCCTTCTCTGGCTCATTTTACAGATGAGGAATCGGAGGTAAACAGGGTTAAGTAACTTGCCCAGGGTCACACAGCTAGTATCTGAGACCAGATTTGAACTCAGGAAGATGAGTCTTCCTTACTTCAGGCCTAGCATTTTAAAGTCAGAGACCAGCTTTTAAATATCTGCTCTTTTACTTACTACCTGTGAGATCCTGAGCAACAAACCCTTAGACTGGTCACGCTTATCTGCAAACTCAGGGATTAACGTCCTTTTCCAACTACAGACCCTATGAAATCTACAGGCATTTTCCTCCACTGATGAAGATCATAATTTACTCATAGCGAAAAATAACTATAACACAAATTACACTGTGGTAGTGGGCAGCTAGGTGGCTCAGTGGATAGAGCACTGGCCTGGCATCAGGAAGATCTGAGTTCAAATCCAGCCTCAGACACTTAGCTGTGTGACCCTGCACAAGCCACTTAATCCCTACTTGTCTCAGTTCCTCATCTATAAAATGGAAACCCACTGGAGAAAAAATGGCAGAATACTCCAACATCTTTGCCAAGAAAAAAAGTCCACAGGGTCTCAGGACAAGCCTGAATAACAACAATGTGGTAACGGTACAAAGGAGCCAAGGATTTCTTCTAGTTGGAAGAATTAGGAAAGGCTTAATGGAGGAGGTGGCACCTGAGCATTGCCTTGAGAAATGGGAATAACATAACTGAATATATAAATGAATCATAAAGGACTGAAATGCCTACTATGTTAAAGTATTATGCTAAGCACTGGGAATACAAACAGAAAAAAGAGTACTTGCTCTCAAGGGGGGAGACAACACATAGAGGAGGCTTCAGTTGCCAGACACATGGAAAGGTCTCATTGTCCTTCGAGTGCAGCGGCAAAGCAGATGGCAGTATCTCTTCTGTAACATCATTTCTACAGATAAAGCTATTATCAGTTTCTGATGCTGAGCCACTGGACAGTACCAAGGACTGGTGGTGAGCACTTTCTTGTCCTGGTCCTGCACAGTCGTGGTTGCTGAAGAGTTCTGTAGAAGCTGTAGCATGTGAAGCAGCTGCCAGGCCCCTCTGCACAGGGGTTGCTCCTCTAGATGATGGCTTCAGGGACTGGACAAGAAACAGGCCTTGTCTCGGGGACCGCTCCCAGGACTCCTAAGCTTACCCTCCTGTCACTGGAAGTTGGTCATTGGTTCGTACTGATGGTAATGAGGAAAGTAGGTCCCTTCTTCATACTGATGCTCCCCTCAGTGATGGCTGTCCTTTCAGAGTTGCAGACGATACATTTCCTTTGATCCTCACAACAGCCGTGTTAAGCAGATGCTAGATTACCCTTAACAAATGGAGACCCTGGTGTTTAAGCAGCTTAAGTTGAGTGCCTGTGGTCACACAGCTAATAAGTATCAGAAAGCAGAACAAGATTCAGGTATCTGCTGACCCCAAATCCAGTGCTCTATTCATGATACCATACTGTCTCATTTCAACAGGAGGCAATGGAAGGATAGGGAGGATATTCCAGGAATGAGCGACATCATGGAAGATGAGAAACAGCAAAATAAAATAGGAATGGGAGAAGGGAGAAGAAGAGGATGTGGGAGGCGAAAAATGAGGCAGGCTGAAGTCTGTCCATAGTGAGTTTTAACGGTATCTGGGGGACTTCAATATCTATGTTTATACTTCTTTCAAACACCCTAACTTCTCCTGACCTGCTCCTCTGTTCCACCCCAGCCCCACAGCGATGGTCTGAACTTGGCATTCCACACAAGTGTGTCACTTCTATGAATCCTGAAACTCCCCAATCTGATCACAATCTATTGTCCTTCCACCTCTCCCTCTACCCTGTTCTTCATCCACACCACAAGCTTCAAGCAATACTGTGACCCCTCAGTTCCCTCTCAGGCCATCTCCTCCTTTCACTATTTTGACCCTTGGTGAACCAGTTCAACTCTATACAGTCTCTTGAAACCTCTGCCCCCTTGTACCTCGATTGTGCCCTGCCAAGCCGATCATCCCCACCATCTGTTGCCTTTGCTCCTACATACATGCTACTGAACAAAGGTGGAGAAAATCACAAAATCATGCTGATGAGGTCCACTAAAAATTTATGTTGTGCAACCTCAACTGGGCCCTCAATGTTGCAAAGCATTCTACAGCTCCCTAATTAACTCAGTATCTCACCGCAACAGCTCTTCAGACCTTTTCAACCCTCTTTAATT